GAAACCATAAAATAAGCCTGAAACATGTTTGTCTATTTTACTGGGAAATAGACTCTCCCTTTAAAAATTGATAACGTGAGCAACGAGACATTTTTTTTAAGTAAAGAGAAAACAAAAAAGACACTTGTATTTAAAAAAAATGTCTAGGCCTATAATGAGGAAAGAGGGCTTGGAGATTTTGACACAGCACATTGGTGTAATGGTTAGCAAGCTTGCCTTGCTGGCCTCATAGTTTTAGCCTTGTGCTATATATAATCTATTCCGAGAAAATTACCATATTGAAGGCGTGAGAGACAGAGGAGAGCTACGAATAACCTACATAATCAGCCTTTGTAAATACTTGACAGAACAGAGTTTAAGAGAGATAACAAAAGATAAGCCTTACTAAGTGCTACAGAAGACAAGATGATGTGTAGGTCCATGATCGCCCACGACCTGAAGGGACACGGCACGAAGAAGAAGAATTTCTCTTCTTCTTCTTTTCTTCTTCTTCTTCTCCTTCTTCTTCTTCTTCTTCTTATTATTATTATTATTGATTATACGCTTATTGCAATTTCTTTAATCATTTCACCCCAAGTAAGGCGGGAATGTCACTAGTATGCAGGACGTTAGGTAATACAGAGAGTGAAGGTGAGAGAAATGTCTTGGTAATATGGGGGCACCGAGGTAATGATAAAAGCTAAGGGGGATTCCAGAAGATAGAAGATGGCGATTTACGTTTTATTTAGATTTTTGAAGATGGTATTTATCAGGGAAGCAATGAAACGGAAGGGAGTCCCACGGGCGGGAAGATCGAGAAAAGAAACTACTGGAGTTGAAGGGGCGGTTATATTTACCTGAATCAACAATAAAATGGCGGAACCTAGATGTGAATCTAGTAGGACGCTTAAACACACGTAGTCCGCGCATACGTAGTCCGGGGCGATTACATTGCAGACCCATTGTTTGGATTTTGTCAAGAACAAATAAATGAGTACAAGGAGCACCTGACCAGATATAGCAACAGTATTCAATGTACAGACGAATGATAGATTTGTAAAGGGGCAAGATAGAAAACTTCTGACACGACACAGTAACCCAAATTTCGTTGCAGTAGATATAGCTATTGAGTTGATGTAGGCAATCAACTTCAAGTCATTTGAGAATGTGAGGCCAAGAAAGCGCATTATATTGCTTTCCATGAGTCTAGCATCAGCCATGCTGATGGCGGACATGAAAGTTTCTCTATGGTGGTTAAATGAGAGCAGTTTCGTCTTGGCGGCATTATCATTTACGAGCCATTTCCTGTCCCAGTTAACCACTGAATGGAGGAGCCAGCTTAACTTTGTCAATTCTGACGGATTTTCTATTGAGACAGGGGCAGTGTCATCTGCATAAATGCCTACTCGGGAATTGAAAACACCAGGGAGATCATTGATGAATATCAGAAACAGCGTAGGACGCAGAATAGAGTGTTTGGGGATACCCACGTTCGTTTGAAATGAACTGAAAGCGAGTCCATTCACGACGACATTCATTTCACGATTTGATAGG